GAGAGAGAGAGAGAGAGAGAGAGAGAGAGAGAGAGAGAGAGAGAGAGAGAGAGGCTGTGTGTAATGAGTTTGTAGGATGGTAGTACATAGGGTCACATAATTGGCGAAACTATTACATTGTTCATGTATATATTGATGAGAGGTGGCGAGAAGTCCGGCTTTCTTTGGGAAAAAAAGAAGCGTGGATAGTTGACTGGACACTTTTATTTACAGAACTTGCAAAATGTTCTAAATATAGAATTTCAGTACACTCATGCGTACCTGAGTCATCAGCACCCCAAACTGACTGCTGAGCTCATAAAGGAGTATATCCTTTGCTGTCCGGTTTGTGTGGAACGTGTCAAAGTCAACGCCAGTAAATGCGATCTCGGCTAAAAGCGGTGTCACACACACACAGCCAGCTACAAACATCTGGGAGGGTGGGCAGCTGAGACCACTGCTGATGCATGTTTCTGAACAACACGCCAAAAGACATCAAGGGAAAAAGGGGTGGGGAGAAGGGTCACAAGGAAGGTGGCGAAGAAATGACAGAATTGCCCAAGGTGTAGCATAGCAGGAAGGGCACCTCTTGCCCCACAACAGACACAGACGCACCCGCCCACCCACCCACCCACCTTGCCGCATGCCCCTTCCCTCCCTTTGATGGATACACACGTACGCGAACCCTCACACACACAGACACACACACGCACATGCACATCATCACACACACACACACACACACACACACACACACACACACACACACACACACACACTCACATGCACACAGACAAACACAAGTCCAAATGCGCACAACAAAGAGCACAACGTTGGTGTGAGTAAAGTCGACCACTTCTTTTCAAGGTATTTTGGTACTTTGGGTGAGATGGTGCGTCCACATACATCAGTGAAATGTGTCCTGGACAGACCGACTGCCAAGGTTCTCGCGACAGTTGTCTCATTGCCATCCCCTGCTTTCCTATTCTGTTGCCTAGAAAGCAGTAGGGCGCCTGGTTCATCTGATCACCCTCAAATGTATGACCTCTGTATGGGCTGTGGTCAAGGTGAAAATTGACTCCTTGCCCTGCGATTCTTCTTGACCTCCCCTGATTGCTCCTTGTGAAGTTCTCTCCAAGAGTAAAATAAAACTCTCTATTTACAAAGCTGTGAGAACAGCTCCACGGATATAGTGTGTGCTGCCCCCACCAATATAGATGGAGCGTGAGCTCGCTAGAAAAAAGAAAGGGAAAAAGAAAAAAACGAAACGAGAAAGAGAAAGTGGGAGAGATCACCTGGCGGTGGCCGAAGAGCACACGTATGGTGGTCAGAGTCTGCAGCATAATTGGGCAAGAAGAAGAGAGGACCAAGAGAAGAGAGTGAGAGATAGACAGGAAGTTGGATTGTATGTAGAGTAAGTGGGGAATTAGTATAAGCAGTCAGTCCATGTGTGCTCTCAAGTGGTGTGATTTTGGCTTTGAAAGCCTGCTTTCGACTTTGCTCATTTATGCTTTGCTGCTTTGGTGACTCTCACAATTGGAAACATTGTCTCATCACTGGGTTCCTTGCACCATTGCCTTCATTTTTTTTCTGCTCCTTCTTTTTCACTGATTTTTCAGGTATTGGGTGTATGACCCTGGCAGCTTGCTCAGATTTCAGACTAGCAAACTGGATTTTGCCCAAGCCACAGTTCTGCTGATAGTATCTGCAACGTGAAGGTGATCAATTGGTGACTGCACTACAAAAGAAAGGAAAAAAACTCACTGCAGGACGAAAGTGACACCAAGTTACCAACAAGCCATACAGAACAAACCTGCATCGGGCACTTCCGCCACAAGAGGAACCGCTTGTCTTCCTTGTGAAGATTCCCACGTTATGTTGATTGCCACCAGTGGAGCACCCAGCTGCCCCGCGAACGATCCATCGGCCACCGTCTTTTGCAGAGCTCGCACGATGGTGGCCAATGACTTGTTGGCGCTTGGTGCTGTCAGCTGTTCGACTGAGAGATCTGGCTCGGACGATGGGGGCGGGGGAGGCGGCAGTATAGTTGCTGGTCCTCCTGATGTGGGCGGGTCTTTGGCAACATCACCCTCAGGGATGGTGGTTGGCTGGATGAAAGGGAGGGGCTCTGAGAACTCTCCTGGTGCAGGGTCCACCTGCATGTTCACTTTGGTGGACCCGGGCTTAGCACTAACAACCTTGATGCGCGATGTCTCGACCCCAAGCAGAGAAGCAACGTTGTTGATGAACATTTTCTCAAAAAAGTCCCTGAAGGACATTGCCAATGTGAGGCCAATCTGCTCCAGCAGGACAAAGAAGATAGAAACGGACAGAGAGTTGATTATGATGGAAGACCAGCAGCAAGACAACCAGATGGGAGAAAACACCAAAGAGTGAGTTGATTTGAACTTGGAAATTTCGGAATCTGCTCAATCCTCTTCTGTTCTCAGTAGGTCAGGCAGATAGGAAAACCGGGGAAAGGGACCCGCACCCATGTGACTGGCTGAATGGTATACCTGTTATGACCCTGGCCAATTTCGAGATACACATCCATCAGAAAGTACAATGCCGTCCAATTGCAGAAAGAAATGAATGAACTTGAGAGGAGAGAGAGAGGATTAGACGAAGAAGAAGAAGAAGTAAGAAAGAAGAAGAAGAAGATGTACACCAGCAAAGACAATGACAAGGCTCTTCTTCTTCGCCCAACAATCTCCTCCTCCTTATCTCCCCTTCTCTTATTCATACAAGAAATAATAATACAATGTTGAATGGCAGATCCAGAATCAATGTCCGAGTCCCTCTTCTACTGCAGGTATCACTTGAGGTCCACCATAGCCATGGGCGCCTCCCGCACTCTTCACTCTCATAGGCCGAGGCTATGGCGGACTACCAGGCCTTGCCCAGATGCCCAATGGACAACCCAAAGCAGCTATGGCTGCTCTAGCTCAGGCCGCCATGCCCAACCCTGCCTTGAAGCTTTTTGGTGTGGCTCTCCCCAGTTGGGGACCCCCTG